TTTATCTAGCCTCCACCCTTGGAAGTGTACTATTTGAAAAAGTCTGGAACATAAAAGCAGCCTTAGATTCAATTTTATTACTTTGAGCAATGTTTTCAGTTTCACACTGAAAAGCAACCAAAAATGTGACACATTTGTTTCATTTTATTTCTGCTCTTCCTTTGCTTATTGAAAGAAGTGGTGATCATAGAATCATAGGGTTGGAAGTGCTACATTGTCCTGCATTTTGCTTCAGGGTTGGAAGAGACCTCAGGAAGACATCAAGTCCAACCCTCTGCCCAAAACAGTATCAAACCCAATTAAGGCTTATATGATGAGCCTTAATGTATCGTTCAATAGCAGGGAAATAAACCAGAGTCATACATTTATTTTAGAAAAAGGTTATCTATTTACTTACATTATATAATCTCACTCTTTGCAATTTTTACAACTGACATCATACAAATGCACATAAATCCTGGGAAACATAGCTTAACATAAATGCCAACTTCAGATAAACTTAATCTATCACATTTATTTTTCTAACTGATCTTTGAATCTATGATGCTTACTTCTCTTTTTTAGCCTCATCTCTAATAGTGATCTTATTGAGTCAGCCATTCAGGCATCACTAGCTATAAGAGGTCTCAATTCTCATATAGTCACTACAGAAAAATCATTTTTAAAAACCACATACCTCTGAGTTCAAGAAAGTGCCTGGACCTCCCAGAAGCCACTGCCACAGGATATTTCATTAGAAACAGTTTTATTTGCAAGGATTCTAGTCATATATATAACTGTCCTCCAAACTTCCACAAGTAGCTCATTAATAAACAAGCACAATGCTGCATTAGAAATCCATTAACATTTTTTTCTGTTGATAAGTATTTTTCCATAACACAAAATCTTCAGTAGATGAGGTACAATAGTGTAATGAGAAAATCTTCACTTACATTTGTAATCAACATTTAGTTTTTTTAAGGCCCAAGAAAAATTTTCAATAACTTGTCCACATTTCTGGGAGCGAACATGATTTGTTAACATTGTTTTTCAGTTAACTAAAATCAGATTAAATTGGAGATAGGGCTGACAGCCTAGGCCTAGGCCTTTTTCTATATTAATGTATCCTTTAACATGCCACAGAAATAATTTACATCTTGTAACTAAATTTACATGAATTAGATGATTTTAAGCAACTCTGCAGACTGAGCATTAAAATCTAACCACAGGTTTCATGTCCACATTAGGATACAAAAAAACACCGCATCAATTTTAAATTGCATCGGTGTTATTTTTCTTGACTATGATACAAAAAACTTTCAACATGCAACTACTGTAATGCAAACTAATCGCTATCCACACACAAAAAGGTCAAGAACCATTAACACCATGCAACTTTATGGGATCCAAGGCTTTGGTTATCTGTTCAGTGTCAGTGATGTCATTGGGGAGCATGTTATCAAGTGAGTCAGCTGCTCAGGAAATAAAGTTTCAGTTTAAACAATCTTTCAGAAAGGGGTGTCCTGCTCAGAAGTTGTGTTTGTTGAACTAATAAACTCATGACAGTGTTAGAAAGGAAAGTCTTACTACTCATTTTCCTTGTTTATATCGTCATTAGGAAACATCTGTGAACAATTCTGTTTTGTTTTATTTATTTCTTTAGATTACTATAGATTCAAAGGTTGATAGTTTAGGTAGCCTCTTATTCTTTAAAACCTGGTCATTTGGGATTTACTTGAGGTCACCAAAGCCACTTTTTTTTCCCAAATGGAGAGAACTCGTCCCTGTTTACACAGCTTGAACACAACAGAAATCTTCTTTAATGTTTGTTACCAATGTGACAGTGCTTCTATGCATACAACCTGCTAGTCCATTGGATTGATTTAAACTGTAATCAGAAAAACCCATGCCACCTACCTGTTAAAAATCTGATAGGTTTATTAGCAAGCATTATGTTTGTGAGTGAGCTATATGCTGGAATTTAAAAGGGCATCAGAGACATAGATTAAGGCTTCAAACTTTTAAGACCTGCTGTGGAGGACAACTTCTATGGCACACATAACTCTGCCACAAGGTGATAAGTATGAAGTGAATATTTTAGCAATGAGCAGCCACTAATTAACACAAAATTTATTTACTCTAAAGATAAATATGTTTGGAAACGATAAATGTTTCAGAAAGAATGTTTGGCTATCAATTGTTCAAGTGTTAATTAGCATGCCTTGGCAGTGTTGTGAAGAAGTGAGCCTGTCCGCTCCCAGCAACTGAGATGTTATGTTATTTGGAGTTGATTCTCATCAGACAGTGGTTTTACAGTGGTGTAAATCCACTAACTACAATGGAGTGACTTCTGATTTATACCACTCTAAATAAGATCATAATCAGATTCTCTGAGTAGAACACACATGTCCTAGACTTCAGTATTGCTTTATAAGGGGGTATTTTTAATTTGATTCTATGGCTTGTCAGATTCTATGGCTTATATAGAACATCATCACTCCAAAAGTGTTACACTGCAGATTCATTTTGCCTAGTGTACCACATATGTGAGGCACTAGGAAAGATTACCCTGCTGAATGTAGCTTTGATTCTATTTTCTCTGTACAACCATTTTAAATACAAGAAGCCTACCCTACTTTTCTGCTAGGTAGCTGGGCTGTGAGGGGATTGGAGAATCATTCAGAGGAGAGTGCACACTCTGTGCTCTCTTTCATCAAGATTTTCTATTCATTCTTTGCTAGTTGTGTTCCTTAATTTCAGGCTATGTCTACACTAAAAATGCTACACCTGTAGCACTTCAGTATAGACACTCATTACAGAAACGGGAAGGTTTCTCCCATCACTGTAATTACTCTATGACCCCAAGAAATGGTAGGTAAGTTGATAAAAGAATTCTGCTGTTGAGCTAACACTATCTATACCAGGTGGTAGGATGGCAGAGCATGGCATCTTGGGGAAGGAGAAGGTTCACACCCTAGGGCTATGTCTAGACTGCAAGCCTCTTTCGAAAGAGGCTTTTTCGAAAGATACTTTCGAAAAAACCTCTTTCAAAAAAGAGCGTCTAGACTGCAAGCAAACCTTTCGAAAAAGCAAGCCGCTTTTTCGAAAGAAAGCAGAGAGTGAGTCTGGATGCTCTCTTTCTAAAAAGCCCTGTTGGCATTCAAGAATGCCTTTTTTCGAAAGAGCACTTTCAAAAAAAGGCGTTCTTCCTTGTGAAATGAGGTTTACCGCCGTCAAAAGAAAAGCCGCGTTCTTTCGATTTAATTTCGAAAGAACGCAGCTGTAGTTTAGATGCAGGTGAAGTTTTTTCGGAAAAAGGCTACTTTTTTCAAAGGAATCGTAAGTATTTTAAATACTAGGGATAGGGGTGAAATCCTGGCATGGTTAAAGGCAATGGGAGGTTTGCCATTGAATTCTATGGGCCAAAATTTTACCCTAGACATCCGAGCTTCAGACTTTATCCCATTCGTATTGATTGAAGATGAGTGTATTGTGAGCATTTCCTTTTATCTGTTGGGGAAGTGGGGAACAGCACAGTGAAGAATCGCTACATTTGTTGGAACATGCAATGCATACTATGGCCCCAAATGCTTAAGTTCATAAGAACATAAGAACAGCCAACCTGGGTCAGTCCAAAGGTGCACTTAGCCTAATATCCTGTCTTCTGATAGAGGCCAATGCAAGGCTATGTCTACACTGTGGAAGAGGAAGAGGAAATGCAAATGGAGAGTTCATTTGCATATCTCGTGCTCTTACTTGCATATCTTCTTCTGATCCTTTTTGCGGAAGAGGTTTTTGCGATAAAAAGCCCTATGTAAATGGGTCCATTTGTCAGATATAACCCTTTTGTGCAAGAGCCTGTAAATCTCATTTTTTGACTACTCTCATGCACATTATTGTTACTAATTTATTTCTCTTGTGACAGTGCTTGGATCAGGTCCTGGACCAGACATGGACCAGGACCCCAATGTGCTAGGTGCTGTACAAGACTGAAGGAAAGATTGCCCTTGCCCCAAAGAGCTTACAGTCTCAATAAGAGTTTACCATCTAAGCAAGATAAACCTTTATAGGGTTCAAGCCTAAAAGTAAACAGTCTTTAGGGCAGAAATGATGTCAACATTTATATTAGCACAGCACCAATCACACTGGCCACTAATATAAACCGATAATAATCAACAATTACAACTACTTAAATTTCAAAGTTTTTTTGAAAAAAATTACCATAATATTGGTCTTCTCCACTTTATTCAGAAATCCCATTGCTGGGTGAACGAATGTTAAGCAGTGGGTGGAGGAGAAGAAAGATGCATGTCGGTGTTCCTTGTAAGTTGAGCACTTAGACGAACACCTAGAAGCGATTCAGGTTCCACTCAGCTAATTAGCAGAGCATCTGCAGTGGGCAGAGACAGCAGCATATGTTTCTATTGGTGGTGCACTTCTGCACATGCCTCAGGGTACATAACAAAATGTATTCCTCACATGGATGGAAAAATTAGAGGGAACATTGGTGCACATTAACTCTAACTTAATCTTTTCTAGTATACAAAGTCTTTATGTGGGTGAAAGTTCTTTTCTTGATTTTCCTTTGCGTGTGCATGCGCTCACATGAGCCTTTTTTGATGTAGAAGTTAATATTACAATAAGGTAATAAAATGCTCATGAAGTCTGCCTTGATAACTAGTGGTAAAAAAATGTACAAATAAAAGTAAAAAATGATGCCTCTGTAATATAGGTAAACCTCACACCTCGTGTCAACATCATTGTGTGTCATAACTCGACTATTTTCATTTTTCATTGTCTCTTTTTTTCAGAATTGGACATTTCAAAACCAGAATTTCTGAATTTCAAACAACAACAAAAATCTGCTTTCAAAATTTGCTACTTATTGAAAATAATCCGATGGCATGACTAAGATATTCAAGTAAAAATTAATAGTGTCAATACTAACCACAAAAAGAGAAACAGAACCTAAAAATACATTTTTCAGAACTATCCATAAAACATATGTTTTTATTTTACAGGGAAACTTTTGAAAATGGAAATTGACTGTCTTCTGGTGAGATGATGAGCAGCAGACGCTCGCAATGACTTTAACAGGACATGTGTGTATGTGCTGTATCTCTAGATATCAAGCTAATAATATATCATAAATCGGGGTGGGGAACCTTTTTTGGGTTGGGGTCCGCTGACCCACATTCCTCTTGCAAACCAGAGCCTACAGGGTTCCAGGCTAGTAGATTTTGGAGCACCAGCAAAGGCTCAATCAGGCCTGAGGGCTTTAGGTTCCCCATCCCTGGCATAAATCCTACTAATAAAGTTTGGAGGGCATGGGAAACAGTGTCATAGAAACCATTTTGCACCCCGACATTGCATCAGTTAAGCACGTGCTTATTTTTACGCATGCTTTTTACGCATGTTTTTATTTTCACTGATTTAACACTTAGCATGTAAATAGTCCCATTTACGTCAATGTGTCAGCATACCTAAGTCTTTGCAGGATTGGAACCTTCATTTTCAGCAGGTAGCGCCAACTGCCTGTAATAAATTAGTATTTTAGATCTGCTGATATGAATCATAGGAGTTGCAAATTTTCAGCACCAGGAGGAAGTATATAAAAACAAAAGCAGTTCACATGTAAAGGAACAGAGGAAGCTCTAAATACTGGACCATACATTAGCCCTGTTCTGGACTGAGCAGCATTATTGCCTTTTTGATCACAGCTGTATTCCTTATTGTAATATTGGTATAATCAAATTATCATCATATTGGTATACACTTTTTCTCCGTATGCTTCTTTCATAGTTAGTCCTCTTCCTGTATCACTACATTTCTGACATATTGGCTATGTCTACACCGGCATGATTTTCCGGAAATGCTTTTAACGGAAAAGTTTTCCGTTAAAAGCATTTTCGGAAAATCGCGTCTAGATTGGCAGGATGCTTTTCTTCAAAAGCACTTTTTGCGGAAAAGCATCCGTGGCCAATCTAGACGCGCTTTTCCGCAAAAAAGCCCCATTTGCCATTTTCGTGATCAGGGATTTTTTGCTGAAAAGAAATCTCTGCTGTCTACACTTTTTTGGAAAAAGACTTTTGCCCGAATGGGAGCAGCATAGTATTTCCACAAAAGCACTGACAATCTTACATGAGATCGTCAGTGCTTTTGCGGAAATTCAAGTGGCCAGTGTAGACAGCTGGCAAGTTTTTCCACAAAAGCAGATGATTTTGCGAAAAAACTTGCCAGTCTAGACACAGCCATTATGTGTGTATTATGATGGGTATTGTAGTCGGTGCGTTGTAACCATGCTTATTCTTTCCTGCTGGCATTTCATCTTTGACTCCCCAGATACACAGCTTACACTTTAACTTCAGTACTGATAAACTTGATAAACAGGTAATAACAATGACATACGTCACAGATGACATCAGTGGTATCTGTGTGCACACTGCAGGCAGTATGTTGCTTCATTTATGATGACTCAAGTGATACTCAGTTCTGTTAAGTAACAAGGTTTTTTTAGTATGTATTCACTCAGTGAGTAATCATTATTTAAAAAAAAAAAAACCAATGCACAGTATTTTGCACTACTGGTCTCAAATAGTTATACTACAATAAGATGAATTATCAGGGAAGAGTTGAAGTGTGAAGTTTTTTCTACACTTGATCTTAGCCCAGAATTATCAGGGAAGAGTTGAAGTGTGAAGTTTTTTATGTCACTTGCTTTCAAGTACCATTCTTGTCAAGTCCAATAATTTTATCTTGAATCTTGCTATAATTAATATTTTACTTACAGCTTTTGCACCAGAGGCATGAGATGATGTGAGAATCTCAGTTTTCATTTACAAAATAAAAGTAAGTTTCTAGCCCTGGTGGTTGTGAACAAAAGCTTTAAAAGATGAGGCTGATGGTTCAAAAACCAAAATGCACATAAAAACCATGAAGTGTTATTTTAATCTCATTGATTTGAATGTTTATGTCTGGCAACACTGCCACATGTTGGGATGTTTTTTTTGTTGGTGTTTGGGGTAGCGCCATTGTAAAAATATGAACCATTTGCAAGATTCAGACCTGAATTTAAAATTTCAAAACATCCACAAAGTTCAAGGGCATTGGTTTGGGACCATTTGTAGTTACTGGAGTAGTTTACATAGATTCTGACCTTTTAAAAATCCATAGACTCAGTGAATGGAGAAAATACTGAAAGGCCAAGCTGTACCTCATACATATGGCATGTAGTTAGGAGGCAAATATAAAGTTACACACCATCAGAAGGAGTTCCATAAAACACTGAGGAATATGTGGAGCAAAGAGACTAGGTAACTACTGCTACTTCTTTATTACATGATTGGGTAGCTCCAGACCTGCCGACAGGAGCCCGGCATTTCAAAGAGACTCTTAGCTGCCATTGTTGCCACAGTAGCAGTGGTGGTAGCCAGGTGCTCCGGGCCCCTTTGAAATGTGATTCCATGGTTCTGTGGTGCTCTGAGGGCTGGGGAGGAGGGCCTAGCACTGCACTCTGGACTGTGCTAAGGGCTGACTGCCTTCAGCCCCACTCCTTTTGCCCACGGCCCAGCCCTTCCAGGGGTGCAGAGCCAGATCCCCCTTCCCCTGCCCCCACCACACACACACCAATCCACACTGTCAGCCCCACTGGGTAGCTCTACTGACTGGTGTGCACAGGAGAGATAGAGGCATGGTGCTTCCACCACACCCACCCTATCTCCAGGGGAGTAAGAAGGGATTGGAATTATGCCAAGCCCTTCATGTGGACCCTCACAAGTGGGAGAGTCATTTCCCTTTGCCCTCTCTCACATAGCAATTGCTCAGCTCCCACAACAGAATCAGTTAACTCTCATCCTCAGTGTTTCCTTGAATGCTGACACAATAGCTGCCAATAACCCTTCATATTACCAAAGCCAACAGCGCAGGCCTCTGGGCAAGATGAGGTGAGGGGCTGGCTCCATGCTCCCAGAAGAGGGGGGGCTGGGCATAGCCATCCCTCTGCGCCAACAGGAATATGGTGAGCTCCCCCCACCCTTCGAGCCACCCAAAGTGTGCGGTGCTCTGCCAGCGATTTAAAGGGCTCTGGGCTCTGGCTGCCACCCCCACTGCTACAGTAGCAGGGGTGGCAGCTGGGAACCCCAGGTCTCTTTGAATCATCAGTGGGCCTGTTACCAAATGACATGCATACTTTACTGGAACTCTACAGCTAATAACAAGACTGGCACCTACCAATACTGCCAAGATTCCTTCAGTTCTGAGCATTTCTTCTTTCTACTGTTGTTTCCACTAGTGTTGCCAATATTGTTTAGCCTTCATTTTCATCACATTTCCTTAAAGAGCTCTGAACAACAGTCATTTCCCATATGACTTTTGTTATCGTTCTAGTTAAAACAACACTTACAGAGGAAACTTCAGCATAAATCTACAGAGAAAGAGGCTACCTCTGTCTCACAGCGGTAGTGAGGCACATTTTTCGGCTCTGAGAACACCTCAGAGAACTTTGAACAAATCTACTAACTTCAAAGCAAGGTAATATCTTCTCAATGACATCATCTTCCCCTTCCTTAGAACTGAGAACTCACTGTTCTCTGAACTAGAGTCAGGAGGGTTTATGTGCCAAAGGTATTATACCACAGTTTCACTTAGGTGTGCTCAGATTTTTAAATCATCCATGGCTGACCTGCTGGATAGAGTATAATTTGCTAATGATAAAACTCTTCCCTTTCTACATGTCAGCATTCAAGGGTTACTCACGTCAAACTGGAAGGCTTATTTTAAGATGGTCCTAAGAGGCTGGTGTTTGCATTAACATTAAATACTGTCTTTAAAAAAATGATTTTTAATACTCAGTTGGAATATAAGGCTCAATTATATTATCAGATGTACTCAGGGGGGAATCAGAGAGAATAAAGAAAACTGCCCTTAGCAAAATGTTCAAGGTATGCCTCAGCATAACCTTGTAAGAAATGAATCTTTAGAAGGCAATGACAGCCTAAATGTTTGACATATATTCTGAAGACAGAGAGGATCTGAAGCAATTATAAAGCCATTCCATACATAGGCTGGAAAACTACCTATGCAAGTTACAGCCAACATTTGTTTGCATATAAGCAAACACCAGTAATTTTCCATTCCTGAAAGAATGGAATAATACATAACGGCTGCCATGCACTGTTGAATTCCTGACAGTGATCTCAACAGCTACTTACAAACCAACCTCAGCATTTACAACTTTTTAATTACAGAAACCCAGAGACTTGCAACACATCTTGCTTTCATGACCTAAACAGTATAATCAGTGACTTTACCCAGGACCACACAATAATGTTCCTGTTCACTGGAGCATAGAGCATAGCAATTTATACACAGCAGCACCTTCCTACACACTCCACAAATATCAGCCTAGGTCTTCTGCTTTTACCAATGCCAAATGGCAAAAAGAAAGGAAGGGAAAATAAATTTATTTAAAAATGCAGAAGGAAGAAAAATTTCAGTAGCATCTTATTCCCTAAGCAGTGCCATTAAAGTTGTTAGGGTTTCACACAAACAAAGAAACCAGGATATAGGAGATTGAGACCTCAGTTATGTGGCTGTGGGCTGCAATTAGCGAAGATGACTCTGAGAGAATGAGACTGAACACAGGCAATAGATACAGCAAATGTAAAACGAAGGAAAGTGCTATTTTTGATTCCTCAGAAAACATATTTTCTACTATGTTGCCATTTACTAAAGGATCTCAATATGCTTAACAAGATATTATGTGCTTTTCCCCAAAGGAGTGATAAAGGCATAGAGTGCACCAGTATAGAGAGCGTCTATACTGCACCATTATTTTGAGATAATTAGCATTATTTTGAAATAACAATGCGAGTGTTTACACAGCAATTCTGTTATTTCAGAATAATATTAAAATAACGGACGTCTTATTCTGACTTCTGTAAGCCTCATTCCACGAGGAATAACGCCTATTCTGAAATAACTATTTCAAAATAAGGCGCGTGTAGACTTTTCCACTTAGCTCCAGTTCTGCTATTTCGAAATAGCCCTGCAACAGGGGCAGTGCCTCCTAGGGTTCTAAATGGAGATAGCAGGTCTACATTAGGGAAGCCTGCCTCGGACTAATTTTGAGGCTTCTCTGCAGTGTAGATGTGCTATTTTGAAATAAACTATTTCCGAATAACTATTCCAGAATAGCTTATTTCAAAATAGTGTGCAGTGTAGATGTACCCAGGGGCTGTGTCTACACTGGCCTCCCTTCCGGAAAAGGGATGCTAATGTAGCACTTTGGAATAGGCAAATCCGCGGGGGATTTAAATATCCCCCGTGGTATTTGCATTAACATGGCTGCCGCTTTTTTCCGGCTAGGAGATAAGCCGGAGAAAAGCACCAGTCTAGACGTGATTCTCCAGAAAATAAAGCCTTTTCCGGAGGATCTCTTATTCCTACTTTCAAGTTGCATCACTTTCAAGTAGGAATAAGAGATCCTCCGGAAAAGGCTTTATTTTCCGGAGAATCACGTCTAGACTGGCGCTTTTCTCTGGCTTATCTCCAAGCCGGAAAAAAGCGGCAGCCATGTTAACGCAAATACCGCGGGGGATATTTAAATCCCCCGTGGATTTGTCTATTCCAAAGTGCTACATTAGCATCCCTTTTCTGAAAGGGAGGCCAGTGTAGACACAGCTATAGAGAATATATAGCCTGTTTTCAACTATCCACTTATTTGAAGAGCCTAATTTGAGACACTTGGGGCCTAATTTTCAGAGGTGTTGAACACTCACAATGCCAGCTAAAATCCATCCGAATTCTGGGCACTCATGCCTCTGCAGATCAGGACTTAGGTATCTGAAGATGAGCACCTACAAATTGATGCAGGAAAAATAAGTGGATACTTTTCAAAAGTACACTTTTCAAAAGTGCCTCAGGTGACCCAGTTACAGGACAGAGGCACAGAACTGATGGATTGGAATAGATTATATATGGGACTGGACTAGATGACCTGTCAAGGTCCCTTTTGTTCCTACATTCCTATGATTCAATCTTGAATCCCAGCCCCATGATCCAACCACCCGACATGCTGCTCCCAAATGTTAGCACTGGAAGCTGGGGAAAACAATTGATGTTGTAATAGTAGCATCAAAGCTGCTAAGAACTGGATTGGCTCTTATCTGCCTTAAATTTGAGGTAATGGCTTTTGCAAAATTTACTTTTTTTCAAAGACAAAAACTCTAGTGCCTTATGTACATCTGAATTCATTCCTATTCTTTGTGGATTAACGTGGCGGTGTAACTAGGATACTGAATTGTTCAATTGTTCTCACCAGTCTATCTGTAGTTGCTTCTGCGGTGAGCTGAATGCAGTGCACAATGCCATCCTTAAGGAGGTTTGGGGCCTGGGATAGACTCCCCACCTACTGTGCCATCCTTTTCTGGTCCTTGCCCTGCTCTCAATCCATACTTTCCCACAACACCTGCCTCCACCTTCCTCTTAACCACTCCATAAAAGCCAGCTCCTGCCTGCCCCTGCCCCCACGCTGCTGCCTCTGTATAAGAGGCAGCAGTGCTGGGGGCAGGGGAGGGAAGTGCTGAATGTAACTATACAATTAACCAATGAGCCCACATTTACATTATCAGTCACATCCCTCTTACTCCTCGTACAATGAGGGCTTCAGGAATCGGAGTAAGAAGTCCTCCAGCTTGACAGTATTTCAACATTATTTTGAAATAACTGCCTGCAGGATAGAAGTGGACTAATAATGCTAGTTATTTCAAAATAATGTTGCTGTGTAGATGTACCCTTGCAGAATAATGTATTTAAGCTCCCAGGCTCAACTTTTTGAAAGTGTTGTTTAGGTTTCCTTTGGGTATGAGGACTCATAGGTCAGATACAGAGAAACAGGCATTTTCCATATCTTATTTCTGAGAATAAAATACAACTGAAAGTAAGGCTGAAAATTCCACATGGGAGAGCTGTGACAGTATCAGTCCATTCTGATGTGTCCAGAATTCTTTGAAGGAATTACAACGCTATTATTTGCACTTTGGGGTATAATTTTCTTTATATTAAAAAAAGTCATAGTATGTAAGGCGAGCAATAAAGACTTAAATTGACCACTAATGCCTTTTGAAACAGAGATGATGATTCCGAATTTAGTACTGTATGTTTTTCAACATTAACATTCTAGCAACATGCACAAATAAAGCCATACACATACCAACAAACTGTATGCTAGCTAGAAAAGTTTAGCTGATGACAGTCTTGTTATTGTAACAGGAAATGACTCAGCCCTGGCAACTAGAGATCAGATATTTTATTCAGTAGCATTAGGTCACTTCTTTTTTTTTTTTTCTCCTAATCAACCGTTTCAAAAAGGCAACTGGTTTTGTTTGAAAATAAATATCCATTTTAAAATCTATTTCAGGGAGGGAGAAGTTACACATTTACAGTTTTAAATAAACACTTGGTTTAATCCACAACATCTGGAAATCTCTTGTTCCTTTTAACTCTGTTCTCTGTACTTCAGCCTTGCAAAATTCCACTCCTTCAGGCAAGAATTCTCCCCCACTGGTAAGTAAAGTATCATCAGTTTATTTCATTATCATTATCATGCTACTGAAGATGAGCGAGTAGATTTTGTTCCCGGAGGGGATAACTTTCCAAGACAATTCTGCAACGTTGATGTCATCAGTATAGCTAAACGAGAACTACTTCATAGACATTACAGTTGAATCAAATATGTGCTTCATCGTAACAGTACCTTAAATGATTTTGTACCAGTTATTTATATGACCTTTTACTGGTTCTCTTAAAACCCAGGCAAAATTCATTCTACTATTTGAAATTCAATCCTACATTGTGCATTATTTTTTATACATGCATGAACTTTTGCTTATTTTGTTCATCTCTCTCTCTATATATAATAACTAAACACAGAGAATGAACAAGGTAACAAAAGAATCAGTATTACTCTTTGCTTCAAACAGCTATACAGAAAGGAACTTATTGCTCAAGTTAATTTAAAACTCTACTTCTAATGACAAACAGCAAAAAGATCCCCAGCAGCAGCACCTCTAAAAAGAACAGGATTTCATCGTTTTCTGAGCATGTTCCTGGTGCAGTTGTCAGAAGTTGTCAGTTTTGTAAATACCAAGGAAACATAACACTCCATATCATCACAATGACTCAGATATACCCTGCATATGTGTATATAAATAACAATGCTAACATTTTATCTAGTCTGGAGGGAGAGAAAGAAAGTTGCAGTGGGTATCTTTGAAAACTCTGTAGAAACTGAATTTATCAGTTGCTTCCATGCTGAGCAAAGCCTAAATTTAGGTATTAAAAATAATAATACTCTAGACAACATCCTACATTGGCCAGTGCAGGAAGACAGCCTCCAGCATTCTTCTTTGGCACCAAAACAAATTATTTTTGTAAATGTGTGAAAAGTGCTTCTTTGAAAACTCACTGCAGTGAAATGAATTTACAATTCAGCATTAAACGAAATATATCTTGAGAAGCCTCCATGCCCTACATTGTTTAGTTGTCATCTTTGTGACACAAGCAGTATTTTATAATTCTAGCTCACTAAAACAGTAGATGACATAAATTTGCTGTTAAAGCAGTGTGGTTTTTTGTGCTCTATCATATAGCAATTTACCCTTAAGCAGGGGAAAAGATAGCAAGCTATCTTGTTCTTCCATCTGCCAAAAACTACTTAACTTGGGGTAGTGCTTCTGTGATTTCAAATTGCACAGACTTAAAGAACTCCAGTGTTATACCTATTAAATATATTGACAGTCTTACCTTCATATTTTCACAGTACAGTGCCATGTTATTTTAGAAATGCATTTCTGTTATAATATTCGAGTTTAATTGCTAACAAGGAGTATATTTTAGCAAGTTAACTGTGTAAAATATTAGAGCGGTAGCTGTGTTAGGTTATGTCTAGACTGCAGGCTTCTTTTGGAAGAAGCTTTTCCGAAAGAGATCTTTTGGAAAAACTTCTTCTGAAAGAGAGCGTCCACACTGCAAAAGCACATTGAAAAAGCAATCTGCTTTTTTCTAAAGGTAGCTATCTACATTGAATGGACGCTCTCTCGCATGTAAGCTGTGATTATGATGGACAGAGTGGGCAGCAGGGCACCTATCCTTTTTCCTCTTCTTTCAAAAGAACTCCTTCTTCCCCATCCACATACGCCTTTTTCCGAAATATCTCTTTTGGAAAAAGGCTTCTTCCTCGTAGAATGAGGATTACCAATTTCAGAAAAAAAACTCTGTTCTTTTGATTTTCTTCAGGAGAACGCAAGTGCGGTGTGGACATAATTTAAGTTTTTTTAGAAAAATGACTGTTTTTCCGAAAAAATTCAGTAGTGTAGACATACCCTTAGCCTGTACCCTCTTTCTTTTGTTGTCCTTATATATACCCATGTCTCTGTAAACTCCACTCCAGGCTTATACCCTAATAAATCTGTTAGTCTCTAAGGTGCCACAGGAATCCTCATTATTTTCATGTATTTACTTGTAACATTATTTTAACCAAGAAATAGCCTTTCAACGCTGGGCAGAGGCTTACTATTTATTCACACTCTAACATTACACCTTAAAATCATTCTTGCACCTTTGCTTTGCTGTATGTAGCGATTAACCACAATATCCTTACCGTGTCTTCATCAATGCTGCCAACTCTTGCAATTTTATTGCAGGGCTCACAATGTTTCATGCTCTTGCTTGAATCAGGTTACCGTGTGAGAAACTAAGCTTTCTTTTTTTTTTAAGTTCTAAGTTCTCATATCTGCAGATAAAAGTGTGACAATGTGAACATTAAATATTCCAGAACCAAAGGGCAAATAAAAAGAACCCAAAGTTTATTATTTTCTAACCCTCAGGATATTAATCCATTTTCATTAGTTGCTAGAGCTTGACTCACAGGTTTTGAATGCATTTTGCAATGATGCCTCATACAAAGCACACTCTAACATATACACACTAACTGTAGTGGACAGTTTGTCATTACAAATCTCCCAATCACACATGTGCTTTCAAAGGTGAGTGCAAATTTTAGTGGGCTTCTCTGATATCTGAAACTCCAAACTTAGAATGTGTTATATTACATTTCAACGCTGATGTATTTGTTTCCCTATTGAAGCAGAGAGCAGAGGGCACATTTAAATGACTTTAATCAGAAGTAGCAATTGGCAAAACAGATAAAGCTTAGCTGCCCGAGTGCTCTGCACAATCCTCAGCCTCACCTGAGGGGCAGACTGACTCAGGGATATAGAAAACCTCTTGGTTTGTCAGGAATTGCCAGCGGTGAAAGTAACTTAAAATTTTTACTGCAACCCAGGTCCCTGCCATCTTTTTAAATAGTTCCCTGCTACTTTCTGCAGCAGCTCAGCCAACTCTTGACAGAACTGTGCACTAGAGTGCACCCACTTACATTCACTTCTGAGTATTGGCTTAATTTTTATGCCTTGAGGGATCGGGGATCACTGTGCATTATAGCAGCACAAAACCACAAAACATAGTACAAGTTGGACTTCCCTGATCCGGCACCCTCAGGACCTGACTGGTACCAGATGAGGGACTGTGCTGGAGCAGGGGAGGTCATTTCTGATTCCTCTGTTGCCAGTCCCACCGGCTGCCCTGCTGCCCCCCCAGCAGCCCAGCTAAGCCACGTGCTGGGCATCCTAGTTCCCCCAGCAGCCCAGCTAAGCCATGCACCGGGCTTCCTGGCTTCCCTCTCCCCCACCTCCCAGCCTAGCTGAGCCACACACTGGGCTTCCCAGCTCCCATCCCCCACTCCGCAGACCAGCTGAATCACAAACTGGGCTCCCCGGCTCCCCCGGGCAGCCCAGTTGGGTTGTGCGCACCGGGCTTCAACCCCTTTCCACCCCGCACAGCCCAACTGGTCAGCATGCGGGGTTCCCAGTTCCTCCTTCCCCAGCCCAGCTGGGGAGAGTGTGTTGGACTGAGATTATACCCTAACTGGATGTAGACAAACAATGCTATCCCAAAAAGTATTCATTACATCTAGAAGCATTGACTTAAATTGCATGTTTACAGAGCCAGCAAAGATGCAATACCAGATATTTTTCCAAGAAGGCATGTTCTTTATCTAATCATTTGCACAATCAAGTAATAATGATGTCTTTTGTTTTCTCTCATACTTTAACATTTGTGTACATAAAACTTACCTTACTGCCCAGGGCTATTCAAAGTCCCTCCACAGCACTTAAGTACCTCATAGACCCTGCAGGCACTTTGCACAGGGGTGACTTTCATCTTTTTTTAAACACCAGGTTGTTCTCTGACTTTATCAGTATAGAGCACAGTTGGGAGGGAAGGGGAATCTGTTTTTCATCTCATGAGAATTTCCAAGAAGAGAAAATATTTCACAGCCTGAACAGGTACAAAAAGTTGAAATTTCAAAAATTTACACAAACTGAAAAATAAAACAAAATAACAAAAAACAACCTAATTCCCTCTCCCGCCAAAAAACAGATCAGGTCACCTGCCATTTTGTTTCAATAATTTAAAAATATTTTGTTCTGATTTGATTTTTTTTTTTTTACTATTTTTAATGTGAATTAGCTTAAATTTCAAAACAAAAAATTTTGACCCAAGAAAAGGAACATTTTAAATTAGAAAGTTTCCAAACAGAACATATCAACAACTTCAAAACTTTTTAAATCAAAATAGGAAATTTGTTGAAACTGACCCTTTCCTGTGAATAGATTTGGTTTATAAAATCAACATTTCCCAGTGAAAATGTTACAATGAAAAATTTCCAACCAGCACTGGTCCTGAGCTCCAGTCAACCACCATCTTGCATTCACAACAGAAACTTCCATGGCCAAATATGGCCTGATTCAATGGCCGTTGAAGCAAACAGGCAGTTTTCTCTTAACTTTGATGGGAATTTGATCAGAGCCCTAAGGATTAGTGAGTCATCTCTGCAGCACCCCCAATGCAAGACGCTGTTCGAGTTGTATGATAAATCCCAGAATGGCTAAATTTAAAAGAAAGACACACATACACACACACACACACACACACACTACAAGTAGCCTTGAAAGGGTTTTCGTTCAAGGGATACATTTAGTAACTCTTTGAATTTATGCATGGTGCTTAATCCAGGTTCATGGGAGAGGCCAGAGGAGAGTGATGCAGAGCAGCTATTTTTTGGGGGTAGGGGCCATAGCTGGACAGATTCTGACAAAAAGGGTATGTGGGATTCTTACAGAATCCAATGGGGATGGGGTAGGATTTTGGCTGAACTCAGAAGGGGCCTGAAAAACACAGACAAAAAAGGGGTCTGAGACCACAGAGCTGACTGAGAGTCTCAGGCCTGTATGTTTAAGAGGCTCAGGTTGTGCATTAGCTGTGGGAGTGGATCTGAGGGGCACAGTTAGTATGTCTATACTGCAATTGAGACCATGCCTCCCAGCTTGCCTAGTCGGATATGTGCTAGCTCTAAAAATAGCAGTGGTCACTGTAGCACTGGTGGCAGCTTTGGCTTGGCTGTCCCAGATAGGGTTGCCAACCCTCCAGGATTGGCTTGGAGTCTCCTGGAATGGGCATCCGTCTCTCAGTGACTATTGAAAGCAACTCTGGATATTCTAAGAAAAGGACATTGCGTCATGTAAGAAAAGAAAATCTCCCGGAGTAGTTTCAGTCAGAGTTGGCAACCCTAGTGCTGGTAAACACTTGCCTGACCCTCTGGGTCAGGAACAGTCATACTGCTATTTTTAGTGTGATAGTTCTCCTTGGAGTAGCACTTGTCTGCCTACCTAGGCTAAGAGGCACACACCTAGCTACATTGTAGACATACCCATGCTGACTGACTCCAGGCAGCTCAAAGGGAGGCTCAGGCCTGTGTATTTAGGAGGGTCCTGTTACGGGTTTGCTACTCAAATTAACTTAGATGATTTTAGGTTTTGTTCATGAACTACATGCAACTTTTACTTTAAAAAAACGTATTTCAGTCTGACCTACTAATCCGTCTCTTTTCTTGATTATTGATGTGAATTCATTTTAATTTGTGGCTAAGTGCTGCACACCCAGGAAGAGGTAACTACCAGCTCTTCCAAATATAGCTGAGAGCAGAACAAACTGCAACTATTTATCAAGGGGAGCAGAGCTTAGGAAGGGGAGTCCCACAGGTCTAAAGCCTATGGTGGCATATCAGGTAAGTAACCTTCCTTGTGTTCTGAGAAAGAAATACTGAGGCCAAAATGTTCAAACATGGTACATTAAGTGGAAATCAGTGGGACATGTGGGAATTCAAAATCTATAAAAATCAGGCCTACAGTATGGGCAACAGCAGTTCAATGTGCCTTATACTGTAGCACCAATATGCTTCAATTCTGACCACCTCTGTAGAAAGATGTTAGTTTATTGCTCATGTTCTTTTAACCTTTGCAATGTCCTGAGATTCCCAAGGTGGATTTCAGATAGAGTGGAAGTTCTGCAACATGGACTCCTAGCCAGTATAAACTGGACTGAGATCACCAATTCATTCCATGCAGGCCAACAAAAGACATCAGAAATTAGCAACTTTCATTTACTGCCAAACAGGGCTGGATTATAGAACATGAACTTGGAGCTTCTCTTTTGAACCACTCATTCATTATTCTGCACTTTATACACATTTTCTATCAGAGCAATATTTATGGTGAAAGGGCAATATCCTGTACAGCTTTTAATGACAATATGCGTTCACTATTGAAAAGCGAAAGAGAGAAGTCCACATTTTATCACTTTAGGAACAGTGAAATTTACATTATGATTCAGTAATAAATACTGTTGCTGTCAATGGCATTGCAACCGAGGATCCTAGACTATTTGCAAGAGTGAAACTGAATAACTTTTCAGGCCATTTATCAGTATATTTATGGAAAGTGAAACAGCAGTACAAAGAAGGTGAAGCTGCATTCAGAAAATGTAACTAAATGAAATGATGAATGAAAAGGAAACTAATCCAGACTGCTGAATCTTGGGGAGGTTCTTAAGATACATTTCACTTGGACTAAATGCAGTAAGAGCCAGATTAATGTTCCAATAATAGGAGATTCATAGGTGGAAATCCTGAAATTTACCACATGACGTAGGGTGCCAGGAGATATAGGACAGGTGCTGTCATAATGCCATTGAGGATTCAGAATAGTGTCTTCTGAAATACCAGAGCATCCTGGTGTAACAGTAATTCCTTCCAAAGAGACCTCTGCTATGCCATTTGGAAAGAGTATGCATCCACTCCCACAATGTAACCTTCCAGATACTTCATGGTGTGTGGGAGGGGGGACTAATGCTAGCCACATCCCCACTCAGGTGCTCAGCATTGCCAAGAAGCCTTGCTCTCTGCATGTAGCTATTGTGTGTAGCCAAGTTATGGCTGCCATTGGTAAAGTGGAACTGGAATGAGGATGTGCTCCCTGTCTTCTCTGACATATACTGGAGAAGTGTGATGGAAGTCATAACTAGGTCCTAAATCTTTCAGGGTGTGTCTAAACTACATGCCTCCGTCGATGGAGGCATGTAGATTAGCCAGATCGGCAGAGGGAAATGAAGCCGCGATTAAAATAATCGCGGCTTCATTTAAA